TATGTCCCAAGTACTTGTCGATCTTGTAACTGGAAATGCGTACCTTTTGACTGCCTTCCTTCACTTCTCCAGTCTCCCCAGGCCCCACCTCTGGTAACTAAAAATCTGATCTCCTTTCCTGTGAGTTTGGTCTGGGGGTTTTGGTTTCTTGGTCTGTTGAGATTCCACATGTAAGTCAGATCGTGTTGAATTTTGACATTATCCTTACCTTGCAAAGGATTTAAATGTTTGCTTCTGGTGCTTGGGATTAGAACACTATTGTGTCAAGAGGAATTATCATTCAACCACTCTATGCCATCCTGGGTGGGTTTAACCCTTTAATAAAAGGAACACATGTATTTCTTTCGACAGATTTTCTGTGAGGGGAGAAACTAGGGATCAGATACTAAGCACTTCCTGGCTACACCCAACATTTTCCCACTAATTGTTCTGTAGAAAAGGGTGAAGCCTGAGTTGGTGGACAAATGATCCTCCCATCCAAACCACAGGATTAAAGAATGTTCGCACACCCAGAAGATACACCTCTGTAGTTTACATCGAATATGCATTGATCAAATGGGCTTCTATGTTCCAGTTGCCCAAACGTTGGCCTTTTCCATATCTACATATGCCTGCATTTATTATTTCATTGATTTTTTTTTAAACAATTCTACTTTTTTTTAAAATTTAAAAGGCAACAGTTTTCTACACGATACAATACCATTTGTCGTTAAAAAGGAACAAAGGACTGATCTGGGCAAAAGTATGAATGAACTTTGAAAATCTTATGCTAAGTGGGAAAAGCCACTTATTGTATGATTCCATTTATATGAAATATCCAGAATAGGCAAATCATACAGACAGAAAGCAGATTAGTGGTTCCCAGGGGCTGGAGGAGGGGGATAGGGGGCTAGTGCTTAATGGATAAGCAGTTTCATTTTGAAAGAAGTTCTGGGATTGAATGGCGGTGATGGCTGCACAACTCTGAATACATCAAAGACCACCGAATCCTATACTTTCAAAGGGTGAGTTTATGGTATGTGAATTATATAGCAGTAAAGTTGTTACTTAGGAAACAGTTACTTATTAGGGTAAGTAGAAAGTCCATATCACTTGTCGTATATAGAAGATAAGCAATAAAATATCATTCAGGCCTGAGAAAGGAAATCTTGCCATTTGTGACACCATAGATGGACCTTGAGGGCATTTGGCTAAGTGAGATAAGACAGATGGAGAAAGACAGATAGTATATGATACCACTTATAGGTAGAATCTTAAAAAGCTCATATAAACTCATAGAAACAGAGAAGGTGGTTAAAAGGCGTTAGCTAATACTATGGTGGTAATCATATTGCAATACCTAAAATGTATCAAATCAATACATTGTGTATCTTAAACTTGCAAAAGGTCATAGGTCAATTACATCTCAATAAAAAAAATACATACATACAATACATTTGCCAGTTTGTGCACATGTACAAACACTTCTCTAGGAGAAGCATTGTGAAGTCAAAGGTCTGAGCATTTTTTTCTTCCATATGTTTACTCATTCACTGCATTAAAATAATTTATCACGCCCCTACCAAATGTCAAAGACTGTTCTAGGTAATGCAAATAGTGTGGCTGACAAAGCCCTTGATGTTATGGAACTTACATTCTGGTGGGGAGACCGTAGGTAAACAAATTACATTACAGTATGATTTGGGGTAATGGTTTGTGCAATGGAAGGAAAAAAGTATTATAAGGGGTTAAACAATGACAAGGGAAAGGTGCTTTCTTATTGTGGTAAAATACACATAATAGAAAATGTACCACTTTATTATGTAGAAACTAATTTGACAATAAACTATTTGTAAAAAAAAAATAAAAAAAAAAAAGAAAATGTACCACTTTAGCCATTTTAAAGTGTACGATTCAGTGGCATTAAGTACATTCACAATGTTGTGCAACCATCACCTAGATCTAGTTCCAGAACATTCTCATCTCCCCAAAAAGGAAACGCGGTGCCCAGGTGGGTGTGGTCAGGGAGGGGATATTTGAGCAGAGATCTATCTAAAGGAAGAGCAAGTGAGAATCATGTGAGAATCCAATGGTCTTTGCATGCCAACTTCACCCCTTATCTACATACCTCCGTACTAGAATTTTGTTTGTATTTTTCTTTAACACCATTCTTTTCTTTCATTACTTAAAAGCAAACTGTTACCCATATGATGGAATATTATTTGACAATTTAAAAATAAAGAACTTTAAAAATATTATGTTCCTAAAGGGGAGGCCACTCTGAGGTTTGGGAGGAAAAGCAAGGTCCCACCGGCAAAAATATTGAGGAAGGAGATTTTAACTTAACCTTGGAAAGAATCTTACAGCACTACAAACTACTCCACTGAAACCACCCAGCTCTGAATTCTAAGATCTCCCTCCTCACTTCCTGGGAAGCTATTTAAGCAGAGCTCACCCACAAGGATCCACAAAAGAGGCTGTATAAATCACAGCAGTCAAAGCAATGCAGACTCTATCAGCCCTGCAGGGAGGGACCTGTTAAAACTATAACAAATTGGGGCGCCTGGGTGGCTCAGTCAGTTAAGTGTCCGACTTCCGCTCAGGTCATGATCTCACAGGTCATGGGGTTCGAGCCCCGCGACAGGCTCTGTGCTGAACACTTTTGCTCAGAGCCTGGAGCCTGCTTCAGATTCTGTCTCTCTCTCTCTCTCTCTCTCTAGCCCTCCCCTGTTCTCTCTCTCTCTCTCAGAAACAAATACAACATTAAAAAATTAAAAAAAAAAACAAAACTCTAACAAATTAGCACAAAGTTTTACAAACTAGTAGTAAAACTCCTGGTGATGAAATGGTGGAGTACATTGTCACAACCCTGGGAAAGCACTAGCTTTGTCAAAAGCTATAAAAATGTCCTCTACTTTTGATCCAGTAATTCCATTTTGGGAAAGTTGTAATAAAGAAATAATTCCAGGGGCGCCTGGGTGGCTCAGTCAGTTAAGCATATGACTTTGGCTCAGGTCATGTACTACTGGTTTGTTGCGTTTCAGCCCCATTGGGCTCTATGCTGACAGCTCGGAGCCTGGAACTTGCTTCGGATTCTGTGTCTTCTTCTTCTCTTTCTATACCTCACTTGCTCTCTCTCTTTCTCTCTCTCTCTCTCAAAACTCTCAAAAATAAGGAGTTTTTTAATGTAACAAAAAAATAAAACAAAGAAATAAATCAAAATAAAAGAAGAAAAGTTTAAGCGGTTATTTCCGCCTTATCTACAATTCTAAAAATCAACAAAAAGGTTGAGTAGAGCATTATTTATGCACTCCATGGAATATTAAACAGCCATTGAAGTGGTAATTATGTGGCAGTAGAGGGGAGCGTAAGCAGAGAATGTTAGGTAGGAATTAGCTCAGAGGAAAATGATATGTTCCATGCAGTTCCAACTAAGCTAAAAAAAAGTATGTATATGGGCCAAAAGTAGAAGGAAACCAAACTGTGCAAAATTCTCCAAATACAGTGTGATTTTTTTTACATGTGCTACTCCCTCCTCCTGGAATGTTCTCTCACACACAGAGACCCACACAGATACACACATTCATACACACACATATAGACTCATATATACACATATGCCCACACAATACACATGCACACGTACACTTTCACACATATGTACACGAGTACATATGCACACATAAAGATATACACACTTAAGCATGCATGCACAAACACATAAACATACACTCATATGCATACATGGTCATGCCCACCCAATGCACATACACACAGACACAGACACATATAAGCACACATTCACAGACACCTTTGTACACTTACGTGCACAGAGTGATGGGCTGAATTGTGTCCTCCCAAATTCATTTGTTAAAGTCCTAACCCCTAGTACCTCCGAATGTTATGGTATTTGGAGACAAAGTTTTAAAAGAGGTAATTAAGGGAAACTGAAGTCATATGGATGGGCCGTCATCCAGTATGACTGGTGTCCTTATAAAAAGAGGAGGTTAGGACAGTTACAGAGGGAGAATCAAGTGAGGGCACAGGGAGAAGATGGCACAAGTGCAGGAGACAGGCCTCGGGAGAAACCACCCTGCTGACACCTTGACCTCACGCTCCTAGGCTCCAGAGCGGTGAGAAGATAAATGTGCTGTTTAAGCATCGGGACTGCAGTCCCTTGTCATGGCAGCTCCAGGAAGCTAACACACACATACACATGTGCACACACAGGGCATGCCCGTGCATGCACACACTCGTGTGCCCACACAACACGTGTGCACATTCGCATATACATATGTACTCATATATGTGCATACAGATGTGCCCGCACAATGCACACGTGTATACACAGAAACGTGTGCCCACACAAAACACATACACACATTGTACACATTCACCTATACACGCGTACTCATATATGCACATACAAATGTCCTCACACAATATACACATGTACGCATCACACACACACATGTACTCATATACATCATATATACACATGTCCACATCACATACACATGTGCCACACAACACGTGCACGTACACACTCACGTGCATGTGAGTGATCATATATACATGCACATGTGTGCCCACACAATACACATACACATATGTTCACCTTAACATACACATATATACATACACATAGGTACACCTTCATACATATGTATACTCACATATGCCTGTACAATGCATGTACACAAACACTCCCTTTCCTTCAAGACCTGACTCGTCACCACCTTTGTGGAGCATTCCCTGGCCCTTTCAGGTAGAATGAATTGCTCCTTCCTCCATCACATAACACTTTAGAGACCTCTGTTCCTTCATTCTTTCATCCTACAAATATCAGTTGAGCACTGACATTCCTCCAGGAGCTGAGATAATACAGCAGTAACCAGACCCAACCTCTTCTCCGAGGGCACTGACATTTGATTATAATGTTATCTCACTGTGTTAAAGTTCTTTGTTTATAGGCCTGTCTTCTTCCTCAGGCCGGAAGCTCATGAAATAGCTACCAGTTGGTATCTGTATCAGAAGAGTAGAGGGCTTCATGGATTTCTATTAACCTCATCAAAAGATGGATGGATACATTCACCAAAATAGGTATGTATGTGAATGTGTACTTTTATGTATATGTATGTGTATCTGTATTGGGTGGGCATATTTATGCGTGCGTATGAATGTGTACTTATGTGTTTGTGTACATGTACTTAGGGTGGTGGAGATCTAGCTTCCTTGGTTTGTTAACTTGGAGTATCCCAAAAGCAGACATGAAGAGGAGATCTCTGATGCTTGTCTCTGTTGGGAGATGGCAATGGTGGGTAGCAAATTGGAGACATTTAATACATTCTTGTTATTGTAACTTTGGTTAACACAGGGAACAATAGAACAAGCTGACAAAAGAGGTCATCATTATAAGTGATCGAGCAGAGGGGTGCCTGGGTGGCTCAGATCATTATCCCAGGGTCATGAGATTGAGCCCCACATCGGGCTCTGTGCTGAGCATGGAGCCTGCTTGAGAGTCTCTCTCTCTCTCTCTCTCTCTCTCTCCCTCTGCCCCTCCTCTGCTTGCTCTCTCAAAAGAAAGAAAGAAAGGAAGGGAAGGAAGGAAGGAAGGAAGGAAGGAAGGAAGGAAGGAAGGAAGGAAGGAAGGAAGGAAGGAAGGAAGGAAGGAAGGAAAGGAAGGAAGGAAGGATCAAGGAGAGGGTTGGTGCACTGGCCAAGAAAGGTGAAAGATTCTGGAAAGAGCATGCAGTGCTGAGGGGGATGAAGACCCACTGAGTGCACTGCATACCCATTCAGGACAAAGGATCAAGACTTGGGAGGTAGGACGGTGCATAGAAACAGTCCTGAGAGACAGACAGCAATCAATAGAAACTCCTTTTCACAGATAAAGAAACTTGAGGGGCGCCTGGGTGGCTCAGTCGGTTAAGCGTCCGACTTCGGCTCAGGTCATGATCTCACCGTTCGTGGGTTCGAGCCCCGCACTGGGCTCTGTGCTGACAGCTAGCTCAGAGCCCGGAGCCTGCTTTGGATTCTGTGTCTCCCTCTCTCTGACACTCCGCTGCTCATGCTGTCTCTCTCTCTCTCTCAGAAATAAATAAAACATTAAAAAAAAGAAACTTGAGACTCAGGAAGTGACACCACTTGCTTACATTTTGGCAACAAGTAAGGAATAGGGGTGACATCCTAACTGTGGTCTGCTTGCAAAGCCAGAGCTCCCCCTGTTCAGCTCACTGCTGTCCATGGAGAAACTTATGATGCCTGTTTATAGCAACAAATCCTTAAAAGTTTATATCCATGATGCTGAAATGGCCCAGTGCCCCCACCAAGGGCATCAGTCTCTAGAAGCCCAGAGGTACAAAGGTACAAAGTCAAAGGCACAGGGTTATTGACCAGCTTTGCCCGGTGAGGTGTGCTTGCCACCTACAGGAGAGCCAGGGGACAGCCTTGCTCAACCCTCCTTTTGACAACCATGACTTCTACCCATGGGCATCCTATTGACCAACAGAACAACCAAAATTAGGGAGTGGCACAGTCTGAAACTTTCTACCTTGTCTCAAGTGAATCAATTCCTCATTGACTATGTAACAGCCATAATCAGTCAGACTGGTCAGAATAACCTTTCCCTCCCTTTTCCCCGGCTAGACTTTACTCCTTCTTGTCTAGATCTCACTAAGGGCTATGACTCTGAGAATGTAACACTGTCACTTGAGCTCTGGGGGAACATGTCAGGTGCTGGAAACACACACAAGCCTGTGAGCTCTAGAAGCCATCAAGGAGCTTCAATGAAATAACCATTGGCACCTTTATTGAGTGCCGACTGTATGCAATAGCTGTCCTATGCACTTTATGTACACTGTGCCTTATAAGCCTCACAGCCCGCCCGCAAGGTGAGTAATAATAGTACCATCTTCATATCTCAGGTGAGTAAAGGAAGGCTCAGTTGTATTTAATTACTTCCCAAGGATCTCACACCTGCCAAGTGGCAGAGCTAAGACCTGCTTGAGTTTAACCACTACACTTTTCTGCCTCCCAACATTCCCAGAGACCTGCAGTCATCAACAGGAGGGGGTGTCTAGTAGCATGGAAAAATGCCCAGACTGAGCTCAAGTTCAGACCCTACCATCTTTCAGCTGAGTGACTGAGCCAACTTCTCACAGAGATTGTTTATGATGACCTATGATGTCCGTTCTCAGGCCTTGGGAGTATTTTATGTTTCGTGCTCACTCAAATATCAGATATCAGTCGTAAGAATCCTTTCCAAGAAAAAGAAACTCAGTTCAAAATAACCAGTATAACCGAGCCATACTGCAGAGCAGTGAGAAGAAGTGAACTATTGTTATATATAACAACTGGGATGACTCACAAGTACAATGTTAAGTAAAAGACCACAAGGGAGAAAAACTATGCATGACTGTGATTAAATAATGTTCTAGGAAAGGCACACTAATCTAAGGTGTTAGAAATCAGAAAAGTGATTATCTTTGGGGAGAAGAGATTATTAAGAATGTGGAGCAGTCATAAAGAGGCTTTGAGGTGCTAGATAGATGATGATGATGATGATGATGATGATGATGATGATGGATAGATAGATAATAGATGATAGATGATAGATAGACAGATGATAAATAGACAGATGATAGGTAGATAGACAGATAGATAATTAGATAGATAGGAAGGTAGATAGATGATAGATTAATTATAGATATAGATGGCAGATCGATAGATAGATAATAAATAGATGATAGATAAAATATATACAGTTTTATATGTAGTTCCTTATAAATATATAAATATTTCTATATATTAGTACATATATAGTTTCTTATAAAACTTGAACATACACTTATACTCCTGGAGATATGAAAATGTATGTCCACACAAAAACCTGCACACGAATGGTCATAGCAACTTTGTTTGTAACAGTCCAAACTGGAAATAACCTTCAGTGAATGAGTGGATGAACACATTGCAGTTCGTCTATACCATGGATACTACTCAGTCACAAAAAGGAAGGAACCATTGATACACCTAACAACTCAGTTGAATCTCAAGAATATTATGCTAAGTGTAAAAAGATGAGCTTTATCAAAAGCATACACACCACATGATTCCACTAATATAACACGTTGGAAGTGACAACGCTATAGTGTAAAATAATATGCATACAAAGTATTCATTTTAGCAAAGACTGGAAACATTCATCAAGAGAAAATTGATTACATAGATTGGGGTTCTATCTATCTATTCAATGGGAAATAAAGAGCCATTAAAAAATTACTGATATGAAAATACCACCAAAATCAGTTAAGTAAGAAATACAAGGTGCAGGGGCGTCTGGGTGGCTCGGTGGGTTAAGTGTCCGACTTCGGCTCAGGTCATGATCTCACAGTTCGTGGGTTCGAACCCCGTATCAGGTTCTGTGCTGACAGCTAGCCTGTTTCAGATTCTGTGTCTCCCTCTCTCTCTGACCCTCCCCTGCTCATGCAGTCTCTCTCTCTCTCTCTCTCAGAAATAAATAAAAAACATTTAAAAAAAGAAATACAGATGCAGAACAGTATTATAGTATGCTACTTGTATATACAAAAAGAGAGGAGAGTAAGTTTGTAGCCAGGGTGGGAGTGTGGTTGTAAAGATAGTCTGGCAGGTGACACAGGAAATCATTAATAGGGGCTATTCATTGATTGGGGGCTTGTTACGAACTGGAGGGATGAAGACCTAGTTTGGGGGACAGCGACAGCTTTTCATTATTTCAGTGCATGACTATTTTCTTAACCAAGAGTGAGTATTACACATTTTTTAAAGTTTATTTATTTTGAGAGTGAGAAAGCGCGAGAGGGGGAGGGGCAGAGAGAGAAGAGAGAGCAAGAATCCCAAGCAGGCTCCATACGAGATGCGGGGCTCAAGCTCGTGAACCGTGAGATCATGACCTGAGCCAAAGTCAGATGTTTAACCAGTTGAGCCACCCAGGCACCCCTGAGTATTACACGTTTTAAAAGTTACATTTTTTTAAAGACAACAAAAGCCAATGGACGAGAAGGTAAAAATAAAAGGATTCTAGGAGATAGGGAGCCCCCCCCCCCCCGGAGGGGAAACAAAAATTGGGGTCATGATGGAAACATCAAAAAACAAAGATTCACCAACATTGCTGGTGGCAAGAATTGAACAAAGATTCCCTAATCCCATCCAAAGTGGGCTTGGTAGAGTTAGTGAAGATTGAGCCCTTCGTGTGGCTGATAGGAGACCATTTTTAACAAGGATGTGGTTTGAAGCCCCAGGGTCAAGCACAGCACCTGACCTAGGCAGGGGACCAGGAAGTGTTTGATAAATTCACTCATTTGACCTTATGGAGGGTTTTTGTTTTTGCTTTTAAATATAGTTTATTTTCAAATTGGTTTCTATACAACACCCAGTGCTCATCCCCACAAGTGCCCTCCTCCATGTCCATCACCTTTTTCCCCTCTCCCCCCACCCCAGCCCCCATCAACCCTCAGTTTGTTCTCAGTATTTAATAGTCTCTTATGGTTTGCCTCCCTCCCTTTCTGTAAATATTTTTCCCCTTCCCCTCCCCCATGGACTTCTGTTGAGTTTCTCCTGTTCCACTTATGAGTGAAGACATATGGTATCTGTCTTTCTCTGCCTGACTTATTTCACTTAGCATAACACCCTTGAGTTCCATCAACATTGCTACACATGGCCAGATTTCATTCTTTGTCGTTGCCATGTAGTATTCCATTGTGTATATAAACCACATCTTCTTGATACATTGGTCAGTTGATGGACATTTAGGATCTTTCCATGATTTGGCTATTGTTGAAAGTGCTGCTATGAACATTGGGGTCCATGTGCCCCTATGCATCAGCTCTCCTGTATCTCTTGGGTAAATTCCTAGCAGTGTTATTGCTGGAATTTATTCTGTTATTACTGTTATTACTTTCCTTGTTGAACCCAATGGTATAAATTCTCTTCCTCATGGAATTAAGACATTGATTCAGACATCTTGGTACTCTGTGGAGGGTTTGGACCTCCAGACCACCCTGCCTAGGAACTGCCATGAGGCCCAGTCTGCACTAGGAGGGGATTTTAGGGGGGCTCTTCCG